CCCAAAGTTTGCAGGTATCCAATCAGATGGTGGAGTCTTGGAGACAGGTTTTACTATTCTACACAGGATTTTTTTTTAAAAACATTTAACCTCGAGCAAGGAGATAAAGCCACTAAGATGCATTGTTTTACTTAGAGTAAAGGAAACTGATAAAACTTTACTGAGAAGAAAGCATAAATAAAAAGAACAAGAATCAAGCAGACAGAAGATGACAACCAACAATGCAGTTAGAATATTCTAAGCATCATTAATCAAACGACCCATTAATACAGCTTTGTGCAGATTAAGTGTTAAGTTACAAAACCTGTGCTGGTAGTGCAGCTGGAATAAATGGAATATCCTACAAGTTATATAAGAATTGCCCAAACATTCTCAAGCAACACACCACTCTCCTCCAGCAGGCATGGAAACAAGGTATTATACACAAGAATGGTGCCTGGGGATGGCATTTGGATACTGAAGGAAAAAGGTATTGCAAATTCCTGCCCTATCTCCTTTTTGAATGTAGAGGGGAAAATATTTTTTGAGGTCCTTGCTCGTCATATGACTGACTTCCTGCTAGGTAACTATTACATAAGCACAGCTGTCAGAAGGCTGAGATACCCGACTTTCCCAGTTGCCTGGAGCATTCACACTTGATTTGGAACTCAATTCTATCAGCCAAACAAAATAAAAGTGAGCTTCATATAATTTGGCTTGATCTCATGAATGCGTATGGACCAGTTCCTCATGAGTTAATTCAAATGTCCCTCAAATTTTTAAATTTCTCAAGTAAGGTTGGGGAAATGATAATGAAATATTTCAGAGCAATGTTTATACAGTTCACCACTGGTAACTACACAACCAAGTGGCAAGCCCTTGAGGTCAGCATCATGATGGTGAATGGCAAATCGCATTTCAATACCTAAGGAAAAGAATACAAAAGGTACTGCAAATTCCTGCCACATCTTCTTGAATGTAGAGGCATAAATATTTTTAGGGGTTCTTGCCTATCATATGGAATACCTGGCTGCCCTGGCTGTCTGAAGCATTCACACATGATTTGGAACTCAATCCTATCAGCCAAACAAAATAAAACTGGGCTTCATGTAATTTGGTTTGATCTTGTGAATGTGTATGGATAACTTCCTCATGAACAAATTTGGATATCCCACAAATAGTTGGGAGATCATAATGAAATATTTCAGAGCAGCATTTATACAGCTCACGGTTGGTAACTATACCACCAAGTGGCAAGCCCTTGAGGTCTGCATCATGATGGTGTGTGTGATTTCACTACTTCTTTTCATTATATCCATGGAACTTATATTACAGTGTGCAGTGTACACAGCAAAGGAAGTGATGACTAAGGAACAAATGGTCCTTTCTCTTTCCAGAGCTTTCATGGATGACATCACCATTCTGGTGCCGTCTAAGGTTGGTGCCAATGAACTGCTGCAGCACTACCATATGCTCTTCACATGGGCGAGAATGAAAGCTAAGCACAAGAAAAGCCGGATATTATTATTCAGAGGCTCTGTCAGGGAGATTCACTTCTACATTGAGGGTGACATGATTTTGACAGTCGAAGAGAAGCCAGTGAAGAGCCTCAGACAGCTGTATGAAATTCCACTGACTGATCGGCACCAAGGTAAAGAGGTGCAGAAATTGGCCCCAGATGGACTTAAATCCATCAACAGAACCCATCTCTCCAACAAAGACTTGGTGCTACCAACATGGTGTGCTGTCTTGGCTTCCGATATTACTCTGTCTCACATTCAGCAGGCACAACAGTGTATCAGCAAGTACCTGTGCAAATGGCTTGGAGTCAAATACTTCACCATCCCACTTCTCCACCAATGCCAGAAGCCTGCAACTTTCCATCTTTTCATTGGTGGAGGAGTTCAAGGTCAGGAAGGTACACCTTCACATGATAAGGGACTCAGCCAATGAGTTCACCCACAGGTTATGCCCAGATATCAAAACTGGCACCAAATGGTTGGCACCAAAAAAACAGAATCACCCAAAAAACAGAACCACCCAAAAAACAGAATCCAGCCTACGAACGACGGAGATTATGGGGACAACCCAAATCAATCGAGCTGACCTGGGCAGCACAAGCAATCAGTTTTTTTGTTTTTTTTCCAAACAGGGTTCAAAGAGTAAACGAGACATGTTGATTGAAGAAAAAAAAAATATATATTCTGTCCAGTGGAAAAAAGCTACTGGTGGTGACAGGGATGGCAGTATTGCCTTAGCCACTGAAACTGTGTTACCTCCCCTGGTTGGTAGTAGTCACAAGCAAGGTATCACCCATGCTTTCACACATTGTATGTAGAGAATAGTTAAGCTCATTCTACAGAGGGGGAAAAAAAAACTTCTTGCGACACAAAAACGAACGCCTTCTTGCGACACAAAAACGAATGCCTTCTTGCAAACCTGAAATGAATGTGACATGAAAACGAACACCTTCTTGCGAACCTGAAATGAATGTGACATGAAAACGAACGCCTACTTGCAACACAAAAACGAACACCTACTTGTGAACCAACACTTTATGACAACAAACGAGCAAAACGGCACCCAAGAATGCTGCCGACAGAAGACCGACCCCAACGGCTCGTGTCGCCCAAGAAAAAACACCAAACGACTCACGCATCTTCTTATGGTACTTGAAGGTGTGCCCGGCGACAACATACACACACAGTTCGAGGACATTTCCGCGCATGCTCATTACATACTTGTTAGTAACAAAGCAATGATTTCTAAAATAATGATCATGACCTAAGTAAGGAATGCAATGATGTTCCAAAGTGTCACTGGATGGTTTAGAAAAAATATTAAAAACAAATTTAATTTAAAAAAAAAAAAAATCACTCATAAACTGAGTTTGATCCTCACTGGCCGCCCTATTACTATGGCTGTTAATAGTTTGCATTTGCAGATAAGAGGTTGGATCAAATTGATTTGTTTTTTAGGGCTTAAACTTTTGCAGGTTATTTGAAGCCATTTATCTTGCAAGACACTGGTAGCACCCTGTTTGGTCAAAATTCATTACTTTGGGGGAGAGACCAGAGTATCCTCTCCATGCACCCACCTCTAGGCCATACTGAATATAAATGAACACAAGGCATTACATTTGGAACTGGCTGCGGGAGTTGCCAGAAAGTTATCTGTGTTGAATGCCACCTATCTTTAGGGCTCTACTCCAGGTTTTCTATCTGCATTTACTGCCCTAGCCTTTTCAATGTTTGAATATGACGGCAAGGCAACCAAGGTTTTCTTTCCATTAGATGGACTGCCTTCCAGGGCTGTCAAGCTCCATCTGCCCAAATCAAATTATGAGACACCAGTTTTCTGCCTTCAACCATTCTCCTGCTTGGAACTGGACTGGTCAGAGGCTAGTTGAGACGTATGCCACAAAAGCATTTTATAGACAATGGGTTCTTGTCCACACTATCACCTCCAACTATAACAACCTTTGGAGCATATAAAGGGTGTTGCAATAACTTGGACCAATTTTAAATGTGAATTAAGTTTAAGCATCTAATGATTTTTTTCTTTTTCTTTCAGATTTAACAACTTAAACGTTTGGCAATTTCAGCCATGGAAAGATTAACAATCAAACAACATGTTAAAGTTATTGAAGCCTATTATGAAAATGGACATTCAAAAAGAATTGGAATAAGAAGTTCCCAAATCACCTCATCTCTCGAAAAAGCGAAGTCAATTGACCACCACGATCATGCTACTTGATGCCTTTAGATTTCTTCCTTTGGAGTAATCTCAAAAGTAAGGTCTATGCCAACAACAATTCAACAACTGAAGGATGAGATAAGGCATATTGGTAAGATCAAGGAGTAACTATGCAGAGATGTCATCAAAATTTTTGACCATCGAGTGGAGGTGTGTTACTGAAGCCTTGGCGGACATTTGGATGATATTATTTTTCACACATAATTGCCATGACTTAAATAACAATCTAATAGAGTAATAAATAAATTTTCACCAATAACACCAATTTATTTGCTGCTGACTTTGATCCATCTTAATGAAACACCCTTTACAATGTATATATATATAAACATATATATTATGTATTTTAGAAGCATTTTATAGACAGTGAGAGTTTGTCTGCACTATCACCTCCATCTATGACAAATTTGGTGCATATATATTGTATGTATATAAACAAAAATTCTGTTTTCTTAGAAGCTCAAAAAAATTAATGTGTTTTTAAATATAAAAACCGTTAGGTAAATGAAAACACTAGAAAGCAAAACATATGACAAAATAGTCCATAAATAAACAAAGAAAAATAATGAAAAGTTCATTTTAGAAAAATATAGCAGAACCAAAAAATGAAACAATAAATCAGGATTTAAACCTAAAATATTCAGAGATTATGAAGTCCTTATTTAATATACAATAAAATCATTTATACTGCCTTTTTAGTCAATACTAACACCTAAACTATCAATTGATAAAAAACGAACAATCATAGGAAATGCAAAGTTGATAAATATAATTTTTAGTAAGCAAAAACAGAAAGTAAAAATAAGAATCTTCAGGTTAGTTGTACAAAAACAAATACTAAAAACAGAAAAATCTGGTAACAGTGGGAAAAGTTAAAAGAAATAACAATACATACATCATTTCAAATAAATATAATATAAATGAAATAAAACAAGTGCAAATTATATTAAATTATTATATCACTTTTAAGCAATATTTACGTTTTTCAGTTAAACTTTAAATTCATTAAACTTTTGGGACTTCAACAAGACACGTCATCTTCTTCCCTTCAGAATGTAAGTGTTGTAAGAATGTTTGGACATATAATCATTTATTGAAACAAGTCCTACTAATTAACCAATAGCTGGGCAAAGAAGAACTGGATTCATAACTTTCCCCAAAATATTTAAACACAAAGGAATATAACGAATCCAAATGGAATTGGAACTTGGCCTTTCGATTTCCAATTCCAAGCCATTATCCATTGCACTAGCTGCCTATCCAAGCTTACAGCACCTGATATTCCCAAGCAGTCACCCATCTAAGTACTGACCAGGTCCAACATTGCTTAACTTCAGTGATCATATGAGAACTGATGTTTCATTTTGATATGGCCATAAACCCTAATAGTTTTGAGACTATGACATTAACTTAAATTTCAGTGATGGCACTAAATGCTTAATATATTGTCTCTGAATTGACAAGCCAAGCACACCATGTCAAGATTTCTACTGACTGAATTAGTGGAAATCTTGGCACTTATTTCATAAAATTTCATTAAGTAGCAACTTGAAATTAATGATCAAAAGTAAATATGGTCTAGAGCAGGAGTCCCCAAAGTAGACAATATTAACCCCTGGAAGTTAATAAGATGATCCAAGCAGTCAATAAATGCCTGCAAATCAAAATGGGATCTATAAATAAATTCTAGTGACTTACAACTAAAACGTACCAATTTCCAACCAAATACCAATATCCTTGCCAGTTTTCAAACACATCCTTCTCATTAATGATATCAACCAATTCAATAAAAAGATATATTGATTTATTTATTATGATTATTCTTCTGTGTGCCCTATCCATTCAGAGCACTGACGATCATGGCCCTCCACAACATCCTGTTCTTTTTTGGTCTTAACATGCCTGCTAGGCAGATTGTGTTGTTTTTTTCTCTTCCTTTTTTTTTTTTTTTTTAAATCATTTCACTTCAAGCAAGGCAATAAAGCTACTAAGATATAAGGAATTACCGAGTTTTACAGAATATGAGGAAAATATATTATTAAAGAGAGAGGACAATAAAAGAACATGAAATAAAACAGAAGATAACGATTGGCAAATTTTAAAATTTTCTAAGATCCAAAAATCAAGAAGTTGGAAGAAAGTTCCACAGGCAGTTTGCTGCCAGTATAGGTTCTGGATTATTCTAATATCCTTCTTGCATATGTCATGGTTAAGGAGCAGCTCCAACAGTTCTTTGTGATAAAGTTTATCAAATACTTTGTCAATTCTATAAAACACTGGTACACATCCTTCTGCATTTGTATTACTCTTTCTGATATCATTCTGAGCATAAATATCACGTTCCCCTGTAATATCTACCTCAGCCAATTAGACAAGATGGCTGGGAATCAGGACAGTTGGTAACATATCTACTTGGACCATGATCAAATGACAGAAACATTGTTGACCAAACAGGCTGAGAAATATTGTTGAAAATGTTACATGGGGAACCTTTTCTTAACTGTTATCCAAGGTTTTTTCTGTTGCATTTGCAAAATATGACATTCCTGAGTTGGTCTAATCAACTGCACTTGAAGCCATCCACCATAAAAGGAACCAATCAACTTTGTCTGAAAGTCTACAATAAAATCTACAAGAGACGACATCATTACAGAAGTATCATCAGCTTACTTAACACCTAGGGTTTGATTGATTGGATTAATATTTTACAGCTTATCAACTTTTTGCAAATCATTTAACTAAAAAATATTTTGAGACTGTAAGAATTTTTTGTAGATAAGAAGTATTTTACTGATACAAGTCCTATTAATTAACCCATAGCTGGAGGGAGAAGAGGTGGATTCATACCTTTCCCAAGGATATTTGTGCATAAAGTGAACATAACAAACCCAACTGGAATTGGAATTTGGCTCTCCAATTTCCAATTCAGTCATTATTCATTATACCACCTGAATATCCAAGTTTACAGCACCTGGTATTCCCAAGCAGTCACCCATCTAGATATTGACCAGGCTCGACATAGCTTAACCAGTGATCATACATGAACAGGTGATATGACTGTATGCTTAATACCCAGGGATGGAACTGAAAATCACTATGCCAACAAATTTACAACTCATTAATCCACTAGGCTAGCCTAACAGATTTAAGTGTTGGGCTGGGCTGGGCAGTGTGTACTTGGGCTGACTAGAAACATGGGTGAGCAATAACTGGGTAGTACTAAATAAGAATTAGACATGATCAGCAGAAGGTGAACAATCTGTTCCTATAGATTAAATAAAGGCTTTCAAAATTCCTTGAAGCTTACCAAAATCAACAAAGACATGATGAAGGCAAGAAGGTTCAATGATCGAAACATTGTGATAATAACAAAGATTAGGACAATTTTTCTAAACATAAATAATGTAAATAGTTTTCAAAAACTAAACTTAGAATTATTCACTGAATCAAAACAGAAAATCATTCTTTTATGAAGGAATACACAATTGAGCAAAAAAAAAAAAAAAATCACATTGAAATTCAGTATTTTGTTGAGTGACATGAATAAAACATTTTGTAAAAAAAAATGTCCTATTTTTTTTGTATCAGCTTAATCTTTAAAAATTTAATCTTTCCAACATTTTGGAGATGAAAATATTAAGTACAATGATTACATTTGATTTAATAAAAGCTGTTGGAAAAGAGATAGAAAAAAAAAACAAAAAAGATAGGGAAATGATTTCTATAATTTTGTTGTGCAGCATCAATGAAGTAAAATATTTGCAGGTGTGCAATGGCCAACTTTGGTAATTTTCCAAAACATTAATGTTTCATTAAAATATTTATTTAAAAAAAAATTAAAAAAAAAAAAAAATAATCAACATTTTTTTTGCACAATTTAGGAAGATGGCAGTACTTTCACTGAATTTTAACTAACTTCTCATGCTGAATTTAACTAAATTTCTAAAAATTCAATTTTTGCCAAAATACTTTAGATTTACGAAAAATGATGGAAGAGTCAATATTTACTATTTTCTGACTGTATCACAGATGCTTTGGACCAAAGTACAAGACATTCCTGCAAAAGTACTTGACATATTTGACAGCACAAAAGAGTCAGGTATATTAGAAGCTTTTTTCTATTTCAGCAGGGCATATTCAGGAAATAAATTATCAGTGATTTAAATATGCAGTATTTGAAGCAAGCTATTAGTACATTGCATAACACTACACAAGAGCTTACATAGCAGAAAATATGTGTATATATATATATATATATATATATATATATATATATATCAGGTAAAATGAGAACAAATTCCACAGTACATAACATTTAATAAAAAAGAGAGCTCAATACATAGTAGACCTAAATATTAGGATTAGCAACAACTCATCTGACAAAGATGTGTTTGATAAATAAAACAATGTTTATAATATTTCTTTAAAAATTAATAAGTACGCTGAAATCAAATATAGAAAATATGATAATATTGATCTAAGGAAAAGGAATAGGAAAATCATTTGGTACATACTCCCATTTAACCAATTAGTCAGTACTAAGTTAGGTCAGAAGTTCCTTCATTTAATTGATAAACATTTCCCTAAAAGTAACTTAGTAAAATTTTAATCCAATTTAAAAATTTGGATAATAATACACATCCCAAGATAAATACTTTTAATAATATTAATCAATGTAATTACAAGGATTCTAATGAATAGCCATTACAAAACCAATGTTTAACTACTTCTCTTGTTTATCTAAGTACTATTTCTACAATAGAGAAGCTGACTGTTGAAAAATTTTATATTGTAGTTAAGACTAAGTGGTATCAACATGTCTTATCCTTCACCAATAGTACTTATAAAAATAGTACATGTCTTAAATATTTTTGGAATTTAAAAGAAACTAATAAAACTCTGAAGCTGAAATGGAAAATTTTAAAAATGGTGAGAATATGTAGATCTTTAAATGAACCCTGTTTTCTATGCTTGCATGAAAAATTAGAAATTATAACATTTTCTGATAAAAACTTAAGACAAAAATATGAATTGACTGTAAATTGTAGGTATAGCTGCTTTTACCTTACAATATGTTTAAACTTTGAATGTGATTATACTTTTTCTTATAGTAATAATCAATAGATGAACTGTGGTGCATCTTATATGGCTTACTATTTTATTTGTAAGATTTATTTTGATTTAATATTGCTTTGTATTGATGTTTGGTTAGTATTATTAACAGCTTATATAGATGTACAGTTGGTTAGTTAGTATTATTAACAACTTACATTGATTAGTTGGTATTATTAACATCTTATATGGATGCTCTTTATTTAATAGTTGCATATTAATTTCCGAAAGTAGTTCTGTATTTTTTATCTGTTTTTTTTTTTTTTTTTAATTTTCCAGTTTCTTAAAAGGGGTCTTTATTTATCAACTACAAAATTTCATATAAGAAGCTGAATGAGCATAAAACTGGCTAGCATTATATTATTATTTATTATAAATTACCACCCCATCTCTTTTGCTTCTTGGGAAGTTTGAGTCAGACTTCAATACATCTTACAAAATAATGTAAACAATCTGTATCTGCCTATAAAGAAATTGTCTAGGTTTTGTATGCAGACAACTTTATGTATTTTCATAAAATACATCTATTAGATAATATAGTACACATCATCAGTGATGTTTCTCGCTGAGATTCATTAGGGGTTTCGAGTCTTTCAAAATCATACCCAGTCTCCATGGTGACCCAGCTGACACTGATCGGGTATCGACTTGTGTACCTACCATCAGCTACAATTTTTTCCATCTTCTGAAGTATACACCATACAACTCTTCTTGGCAATTTGTCTAATCCCAGATGACTTCCAGTTCGACAGCAATGTAAGCTCTTCCATAAAAAGGAAGGAAACACAGCCACAATTTCTATCTGATCAGGAATATGGCAGTGTACTTGGCTTGAAGTGGTAAGTACAGATTTGATTCTCCCCACCCCGAGACATATAGACACACACACACATGCAGAGAAACATCACATTCTGCTTACACTTATCCCCATTTTCATTCATGTTAATCATCTGCCGAAGGAAAAGAAAAACAAAATTATTTCCTTTTCTTCCTTCACTTTTTTCCTGACCCACCACCTATATAAGTTACACACACATACAAAAAAAAATATTAAAACAAAAAAACTAAATACCGTAACCCTGGTAGGGGGTAAACAGGTGCTAGATCTTAGCCAGGGATCACCCGTAGATAACAATGGTTTGGGGTACCCTAATTCTGTCCCCTAGTCAAGACTCCATTGTTGAATGTAGTTTTAGGTCATACCCAAGACCTCCCCACCCAAACAAAAAATATATTTGTATATATAAACCGCAACTTCCTTTCATT